TAATATAAAATATATCATATATTATATATAAATAACTCATTTGTATTGCTAAAAAATTTAATTTATGTAGAGTAAAATATTATAATACATTTCTCCAAATTGTTGGCCATAGCTAGTTTAGGTACCTACCTAATACCTGGAACTATAGTATATATAGTCATATAGGTATACCGCCGCTCAAATATAATATCATAGTGTAAGTTTGGTATAGTGATTGCACTTTCAAGTATGTTTTGGAAAATAATAAGAAATAGTACTTCAAGTTCAAATCATGTTTGTGTATAATATCTTAATATCTATAACTGTGGCTAAAATTAAAAATGTATTTAATAGTTTTGTGTATTGTTTTTTTGTTTAACCATGCTGTATACTGTATACAATGATTTAAAATTAAAATAAATATATTAATATTTCTTGAACTAATGTATTAGTAAACATCCAAAATCCAATATCTCAGTAGTGGATCCAGAAGTCACCCATGGGAGGGGGGGAGTGGGGCAAGTTTAAAAAATTAAATTGTCTTTTTGTTTAGCCAAATATTATAATAGAAAATAACGTTAAGACTACAGCCCAAGGGGGGGGGGTGAACGCCCCTTCTTCCCCCCCCCCATCATAACCACCACTGCAGTATCTACAGTTATTGTTTAATAAAAGGGAATAGTAGGATGATTTTTAACAACATTTTAGTTTTGTTAAAAAAATTGATATTGCACAATCAATGTGTCGCACATTCATAAGTAAAGTAGTCGAGTGGTAATTAAAAAAAATGAATTAGGTACCTTATTTTTAATTGAATTTAGTCCTGCATAATATTCTCCATTTGAAGTTTTGACTTTTAGAGTTAAATATAATATTATCGAACTATTAACTTATAACCTCACTGTCTAATGTAGATATAATTTTAGATTCTTAGCGGAGCAATGAATGGATTGAACTTAAAATTATGTGTATTTTTTTTATTTTATGTTTCTGGGTAGGTAGTAGGTACACGGTAAGTAGTCAAAATAATTCTTTGATACAAAATTCCCAGTAGTTTTCAAAAGCGCCAGGAAAAACAAAATTAAAATTAAAGATAAACGGGATAAGCAAAATCGATTTAGTTTTTAGTGTAACTCTAATGAAACTTTCACTAAATGTTTATAATAACATTTTCTATATATTATAAATATTTTGACTTATGCTGAGCTATTTATAGACATTTGAAATTATATTAATATTTTTCAAACTAATATACAACAGTATCTTGTTCGATGGGAAAGAGAATCTAGTTGGTGCGTTCGGGAGGTCAAATTTTAAAATTCTCAATAACTTTCAAAAGCGCCGGGAAAAACAACATAAAAATTATGGAAAAACGGTTTTTGATAAAATCGATTTTGGTTTTTGGTGTAACTTCAAAACAAATTAACGTGTATACATGAAATTTTCACTGGTCGTTTATATTTGCAATTTCTAGACAACTAATAACTGTAGATACATGAACATTTTACTGAATGAACATATTTTAATTTTCTGTACACCATACAATTTTGACTCTTTTTGAGCTGTTTACGGACGTTGTCAGTTTTTAATTTTTTTCGTTTTTTTTTTCTATAAATATCAATAAAATTTTATTTGTTGGGTAAAAAGCGTGAAAATTTAATGAAAGGCTCCTGATATACTGTTACAATAACAGTTGAAAAATATTAAAAATACATAGGCACAATTTTATTTTCATAATCTTTTAATGTTTGAATTTGGACAAAATTTATCAAATTTAAAATTTAATAAATATTTTGTAGTTAAAAATTTGTAAAATGTTCAACTTTTATAGCTAATTAAGGATTCAAAATTTAAAACAAGGTTCCACGTAAATAGGTAAATATATAAACTACTTTATTCACAATAATATCATCATATATACAATATACTTAGTATTAACTGACCGTTTTCGCTCAGAATCGTTTTTCTTATATAATGATATTATATTATTGAATTCAAATTTAACACCATCCATTACAGTGACCCACTTGTAACCTACTATATAGCAGAGCCAGAGCGATATCCACTTACCCACCTTTTTGTTTTTCCTGTTGCTTTTAAAAACTACTGTGAATTTTAAATTTTTACCTCCTCAATACACCAACTAGATTTAATTTCCCATCTAACAAGATACTGAAATTGAAAATCCTAGCTACATATCGTGTAGACACAAAAAATAAAAATAAAAATAATAAAACACATATCATTAAATCATTACATTCATCCGCTCAGAATCTAAAATATTAAAAATGGTAAAAATTGTTAATATTACATAAGTAATACATATCGTACGTACATCAAACGAAAAAAGGTAAATTTTATTTTTATTTTTATTTATTTGGTACTATTATATTATAATATAAAATACAATTCAAAATTATCAATTATGTCTATTTAAAAATGAATTGAATAGTTCCCTCAATTATTAATATTTAATCCAAATAATTCACTTAGTATCACATATATTATTATTAATGTTTACTAACACAAGAGTGATTTTTTTTATTCGTTTATTATTTAATAATATTATAGTATATATACAGAGTGATTATTTTATCATCGAACACTCATTATTTTAAGAAGTGTAAATGTTTTTGAAAATATTATTTATATAGTTTCAAGTCGTTTACAAATCAACGTTTTTATTAAAAAGTTACATTTTTGAATATTTTTTATCCTTATAATTTTTTAAGTTTCTTACTTTTTTGAATGATAACATAGAGTTTTAATTACATATTCCAAAGCAAAATATTTGTCTAAGTATTTTGAAACATATAAATTGAATTTAGGGGCTAATAGTTTATGAGTTATAAGCATTTAAAGTATTGATGAGCGGAGTAGTGGATAAACATTCACCGCTCCGCTCAAAACTTTAAATAGGTACTTATAAAGTTATTAGTTATTAGTTTATAACACATAAACTAACAATAAACTTGATTTTTATGTTTCGAAATAATTAGACAAATATTTTGCTTTGGAATATGAAATTAAAACTATGTTATCATTCAAAAAAGTAAAAAACTTAAAAAAATTATAAGGATAAAAAATATTCAAAAATGTAACTTTTTAATAAAAACGTTGGCTTGTAAACTACTTGAAACTATATAAATAATATTTTCAAAAACATTTACACTTCTTAAAATAATGAGTGTTCGATGATAAAAGAATCATCCTGTATAAAAAAAGAATATATATATATGGTATACCTATTTATTATTTAATATTTTATTTTAAATATTTATGTATAGTACTTAGCGAAAAATATCCTTGTATTATGAGGTAATTTCCAACCAATTCGACCAACATTAAATTAATTTGAATTAATATCAATATATTGATACCTACGAAATAGATGTTTTTATTATTATTTGTTATGTCTTATACGAAAAAATGATTATCTGTTATTATTACAATAATAGGTATACATTTTCACATAAACAGTTAATCAGAAATTAATTAATAATAATTTTAACTATACATAATATTATTATGTTTAGAATGTACCTATATTATTGTTCATACTTCATATATTATGTATTTGTCTCAGACTCAATAATTTATAGTCTTAAAATATTTCTAAGAATAGGTACTGATATTTATTACGGACTAATAAAATTAACTTGTAAGTATTGAATAATATCTATTTAATGTTATTGACAAAATAATTTGTACCAAGTGTTGAAATCGAGGCAGAAGATGGACTGAGTACCTCTACTATTTTTTTTTCAAGTATTCGTGTTTTGAAATTTTTAGATAGTACTACCCTCATTAATAATTCTTATTATATATTTATGTTTCACTATTAGGTTATCACTTATCATTGATCGTTCTTTGAATTTTGCTTCAGTCGGTTTAACCTCTTTCTGTTATTTAAAGGTAGATTTTGAATCGAGTGATTTTTCAATTGTTTTATTGTTGTTTGTTTGTCAATTAACTTGTAATTATTGTTATAGAATAACTTTCTAAAGTTAATTTCGGTACGATAATTGTTAAAAAGAATGCTCATAAAATGAGTTTTCTTTATATTTTACACATCAATGTAATTATTGATAGTAACTTATTTCAATTTTATATTTAAATTAATTTAAATTAACAAAAAATCTATAGTACTCTATAGTACCTACCTAACTAAAAGTGGGTAATATACAAAGATCGAATTTTAAAATGTTGATTTACTAAGTTGTAAAATATGTTTTTTGTAATTAAAAGATAGGGGTATCGTAGTACCACAGTGCAGTGAAATATACAAATAAATGATGAGGTCTGTTTTTTTAAAAAGTAAACTGTTCCCCTATACTACCTACTATTTTTTATATATGATATATTAATATATATTGAAGTAAAAATATTGGTCAACTCTATAATATGTAGTCGGGTGCATCTAAACTGAAAATGAAGGTATTAGAATTTAGAAACAGAACCTCTTGAATATATTATTATACCAATAATATGAATAATAATAATAATATTAATATGAACCGATATTTTGAAGTAAAGGTTCTTACCGGATTTTTTTTTAAGCTAATTGTATTGGTACCTACTTAATTATTAATTCAAAGTGTTTTGAAGTCAAAATATGTCTAATGTACCTAGTTTATAAAAAAGATGTTTTATCTTTTATCCATGACATTCTCTGACTTTTCTAGATTACATAGTTTCTAACATAATATTATACTATTATACTTAATAGATAACTACACTACACTATTTCTATACCTATGTGGCGTTTACAATTAATTTTATTTAACGCATTAAAATGGGATTAAAATCCCACAGACAAAAACTATGTACATAGGTATTATAGAATATTATAAGTTCCTCCAAAAAATGGGGAAATGCGAAAGGCCATTAGTCCTTCTGTCAGCCTTTCCGAGATTCTGACATATCCAAAACCACAGTAGGCGCCATGTCATATTATAATTTATTATTGTCTCATCTCTGAACATCATAAAATAGACAGTATATTAGATTTAGGTACTTACTCTATAGGAGGCGTATAAGATTCGACGCCGGCCACGTGGCCATCTTCGGTCTGTTGTCGCTGACGGTTCCTGCGGTTTCGTCGCTTACGGTGCTTCTTTCCGGCTCCACCACCACCGCCATCACCACCTCCGTCACCTACGTCACCGCCGCCGTCACAGCCTCCACCACCATCGTCAAACTTGTCCGATTGACGACGCCGTTCCTCGTCGTCGGGTCGATCCACGGCATCTGTCGGGGTCACTAGCATTTCAGTACGCTCTGGCCAACCACCGCCGTATCGGTCTGGCACGTCGATGACCGGCGACTGGACGCGTGTAACGTATAGTATATATATCGTGTCCTCGGCCACCGTTTTCGAGTATACGACGTGGGCGAGTAAATAATTAGTACCTACGACTAAAATAATATAATATTATCAATAGTGCAGTAAACCTATCAACGCGCGATATTATATATTTCGTCGCTGTCACTGTCGTTGTTGATATTTTTGTGATTTTCAAAAATCTAAATCGGGCGCGTCGCACGCACAGGGTCCGTGCCGATCGCGAGCCAGAGAGCGAGAGAGAGAGCAACGAACGCGCTACGTCGGTGGCTGTGGCTGGTGCAGTGGCGTTAGGTTTGCGACAGCGATTTAAACGGCCGGCGCCGGAGACACGTTGTCGTGGCTGCTACCGTCACTCGCACACACACACACACACACACACACTCACAAAAACACACACCCAAGCACAGCAAATGGATAGGACACAAGCGCGCGCGCGCACGCCGTGGCTGTGGAGGTGACTGCGGGGATGACGGTGACAGGGACGGCGGCCAACTAAAATAACTACTCCACTGCCGCCACCGTCGCCGAGATTGCACTAGCTGTAGGCTGTACAGCTCGCGAATGAATTAATGTGGTAAAGGAATCACGTGTGGGTAGAATAATAATAATAATAATAATAATAAAAGTTAATAGGAAAATAACAATAAATTGTGTACAACAATATACAGCGGCGCATGAGACGGAAGTGATTTATTTAATTTGCTTGTTATAAAAATAATACGACGTGGTTGATATAGCGTGTGACTGCGAACATTATAAAAACGCCAGCAAACGATGACGTATAATGTCCAGGGATGGTGACAGTCGTGAGGAGTAAGGAAGGGTTGGAGACGTGTTGTGTTAAAGTACTTAAGCCACACGCCACACACCCATTATAGTTGTTTGTAAAACCATTTTGCGCGAAAAACAACCACTCAACTTATAATTAAGAAACAACATTTATCCACAATGCAGAAGCCTATATTTTCTGTGTCTTTTTTTTATCATAATTTTAATAAATACAAAACAAATGTGTTATTGTTTTAAAACGCTATGGCACATAAAATGTTTTCCTTTGTATCGTATATAAATTTGGTTTCTTAACTATCGATGTAACCTGAGTGGTTTTTTTTTCACTCGAAACCGTTTCTTTTTTTATATAATCTCGTAATTAAAATATTTACTGGCACGGGACCATTTTTTTGTTACTTTGAATTATTATTTAAATATATTAAACATTTAAATTTCAGTTTTTCTTATAATATTTCATTTAAAGTCCTCATTATTACCCCTTAGAAAATAGTTCGATTACTATAAATATACGTTTCTTCGTGTTATTAAAATAAATATTCTGTAGTATCCGGTCGATTTGTCAAAAATTACAATTCATAAAAAAATAAGCAATTTGTAAAATATGTATTGGTCTAATACTCTGATCCATAATTCATCAAACGTCTATAATTTAAAAAGTATTAAATATGAGCGATACAAAAAAAATGTGTTCAAGATAAAGTAATAAAATATTGTATTTTTGATGAAAATTACTTTGACACAAAATGTTACTGACGAATTTGTGTTCGATGAACTATATTTGAAGCAATGTTTTTGATATCACTCCTCACTATAAATGATAATGATCTATTTATATATATTAAACAGGTGACTTATATAGGTGACTTCGGACATAAACGAGACTTGTGATGCAAGCAAACCGAATATAGTAGATATATATTATATTATATATATCTAAATATAAAAATCGATCATCTATATTATGTTAATTATAGTTCACACCAATAATTGACGAATAAATTAATAAAATGTTAGTATGTTCTGACAGTTTAATCCGAGCTTCCAAGCTATCATCAGTCGAATCTTATATTCTTGTCATCGGATTTGAAGATGGACCATAGAAGGTTGCCGATCGATCCAGCTATATAATAATATTACAAACTTGAAACCAGTAGACAGTGTTGGAAATTATCTAGATAAAATTATTTCTTTAATTATCTTATCTAGATAAAAATAATTAAATCATCTAATTATCTCATCTAGATAAATGTTATGGTTATCTGTGGTCATTTATCTAGATAAATAATATAATAATAAGAATATTTTTAAATACTGGAATAGCCAATAATGTATGAGAACCGAGTAGTGATTCCAAATTCCAATATTATTATACTTAAAAAAATAAACGTTTACTGAAATATTGTCAGTTTTATTTTTTTATTTTTTTTTTATTCGAGTTGTATTAAAAATTAAAATTATATAATATTTTAGTTGAAAAATGACATTATGGATTTAATAATTAATAAAAACTACCTAATTAGTTATTACTAATAAATTACATTATTTATAATATAATTTAAAAACAAATTATCTATTTTTTATATTTTTATCTTTATCTAAAAAAAATGAGGTTATATTTTATCTTATCTAGATAATATTTTGAATGAATTATCTGTTATCTTATCCGGATGATATTTTGGTTTTCTTTTCCCAACACTGCCAGTAGGATACCTACCTACAGATCCAATCAAAATCGGGAATATCTAGTATTGTACTTTTACAACATTGAACATAATATATACGAAGTAATGAAATACACATCTTTTCAAAGCTTGTAAGTCTTCCAGTCAAAGCCACAACAGTGTAATTATTTTGATGTTATCACGTCTTATCAATATTATATTCATTATGACGCAGCCATAGACTTTATACTAAGATATAAAATCATTAAAATCTATGGGTGCAGCGCGCCTCCAATTAAATTGTATTTTATTGTCGAATCGTCATAAAATACTTAGTACTTTCATCGCGGTATTTCGATGAAATTTTATCTACCTGGACGTTTTAATTATAATAGGTATTTTAATAACAGTAAAAATCAATTAATGGCAATCATTGTTAATTATTTTCTAACCACGGTCGCTAACAGCATGGCGCGGCGCGGAGTTGGTACTAGGCAAGCCAACAAGCTAGCACGTATACCACTGCCACCCTACACTGCCCCGGTATTAATTTTCTCTGTAATTATTAAACGAAACTGACCCCAATATAATACATAATTGTTCATTATTGTACAGATAAAATATACTGACAGTTGCATATTATGTCTATGACATATAGTAAATTACATTTAAGTCATAGATTCGTGGTTATATATCCTTAGGTGGTTATATTATTTATTTTAACAATACTTTTTACCATAAAACTATAAAATACCTAATTCTTAAATAGCAATAGAACAAACATAACAAGAGATACAGTTTTAAAATATTTAATTATGTTAGTTATTACGTCTTATTATGTATTAGGTATAATTTATTATACGGACACACATTTCAATGACTTTTGGATATATTCCCACCTGAAGTACTTATAACTTATAAGTATGTACAAAGCTATGGTATAAACATATAAGTTTACATAATAAAAGCATAAATATTATTACGACTATATTATAGGCAGGTGCTGTAATTGTGCGAAGATCTGTGTTTACCAAATATCAACGGACTAATATTACGTCGGAGGAAAGGCCAAGTGATGTAACCCTCAAAAACCAAATTTTACAGGGGACACTTAAACAATAATAAATTTGTTCCAAATTAATCTTTTTGTGTTAATTTTTCTTATTGTAAAACTCTATTTAATTTATAAAATTTAGTTCACATAATATTGAATACTTAATGATGATTGGAGTATAATAAGTATATTATTATTTCAGCATATTTTTTTTTATAGGTCTGAATGTAAAAAGTAAATTAACATAATATTATAATTAGTAAGAAATTCGTTATCGTATCCAAACCACAATGGTAATAATATTTCAAGCACCGCAAGCGCAACTCCCAAGTGACTTACAATGCAATAATAATTCACTAAAATCCAAATGATGCATAAATTTGAAAAAGATTTTTTTTTAATTTTAAGTCTACATATTATATACAGAAAAATACATTATGTAAATTACTGAAAACTATATTACAATACAATTATGTAATTTATATTTCCAACCTTGTAATAAAAACAAAAATAAGTAAAACATGTTTTCAAAATAAAAATGTAGGTTTAATGTGATTTTGTCAGCATTTTAGATTTAAGTCGAGTAAAATAAATATCACTTACAATCCCCTCAGGTGCCGGCCAGTAAATATGTATATTATATAATAGGTATATAATATGTCATGCTTAGGATGACTTATTTTGAGGATGATATCGATACTACCAATCACTAGGATACAACTTCAGATTGAATTTACCAAAATACCTATAGCTTATAGGCAAGGTCCCGGGCAAGATTATTGGGAGTTCTCCATTATCCTGGTGATTTTATTTGAGATAACCAAATCTAATAACCAATCGGTTTTTTGATAAGATGTTTTTTTTTAACTTTTGGGTATGATATGCTATAAAAAAATAATATATTAATATGTATAGTTAGATATTATGCATGCATAGTTTTATATAATAGTTTCATATTTATTTCCTACACACAATATTACATTGTATATAATAATATTATAAACTTCATAATGGTTGATTTTATTTTGCATTATATAGGAATGAAGTAATAGTTGAAATAAAATGTTATGTTAAAGAATTTGTTATTAGTTATTACGAAAATAAATTGAAAGTCTAGGGATTTTTTAGTTTGATCGATCCTACTATTCCATAATAAAATAATAAAATAATATAATAATAAAATAAGTGTAGGGAACATTATTAATAGCTTATAAATATAGTGAAATAGCTAATTAATAACGGTCTTTTTTGTGAAATAATAGATTGATACCCAACCCCCCTTAGTAAAATAATCTGAAATTCAACACTGACTATCGTGGAACGGTATGTGTAATATTATTTTTATCGGTAAGGGGTGTTTACCCTCGAACGCAGCTGTGGCCACCATCGCCGACAGCTGCTGTAGCGGTTGCTAG